ATACATGCATACATAAATATACACACACATGTAATCTCATTTTACTACTTTTCAAAGCACATATATTAAGGAGAAAGTGATTATCACAATGCATTTTTTGAATTATGAAAATATAATCTCAATCTTAGGTATTATTACTGATAGGAGGAACCCAACAATGGAAAGTACTACAATTTATTTTGTAGATGCTACTATGATTTATTAACATCAAGAATTCATCGTGTTCTGAGATTTTAATATTTGCTACTTTAACTATCTTTCTTCTCAGAAAATGAAGCAGATCAGGGTTATGTTTTCATCACAATTCTATCCCATCTATGCAGAAGAACACTTGACACTATAGAACAGCTTAAAAATTATTGTGGCATGCATAAATGAATGCATAATTATATCAGCTGACTGTTTTTATCCCTGAGACATAGATAAATCCTTTCCAGAGAGACTTCAGGGAATCATTTTGGTTAGGACGGTTGGCAAAGTTCTCTCTGAAAAGGTGATCTTTGAGTAGTTAAGAATGATGACAAAGTCCTTCCTCTATGAAGATAGGGATCAAGAGAATTCCAAGCAGAGAGAAAATTGGATATAAAATCCCTGACTTTGGAATTCATTCAGCGTACATTATTTTTCCAACACAGTGGCAAAGACAAGTACAAAACTGATTGCACAGCATGGTTCTCAATTTAAAGGAATTTACAACTTCTTCAGGAGATGAATTCACATGTGGAATAAAGCAGATTTGGAAGAAAAATTCACAGATATGTGTAATATATTATGAAATTTCTAAGTATCTTTATCATCTTAGTAAAATTATTATTTAATAGTAATAAAGGTTTCCAAAGTTTTTAGTTTTCTAAAAATTTCTTATGAATGGATTTCAGATTGTATCAAATGTATTTCTAAATATTTTGAGGTAATAGTATGATTGTATTATTATTATTACTCTGTTAGCTTTCTGAGTAATGATGATTGATTTTCAAGTAACAAACCATTTTGAAATTTCTAAAATATGACCTGCTTGTTATTGATGTAAATTCTGTCACTGAACTTTGTTAGTTTGTATTTGTTTAGGGTTTTTGCTTCTGAATTCATGAATTATATTGGCTTGTACTTTTATTATCATGGCTGATATGGTCTGTCTCTGCGTTCCCATCCAAATCTCATCTTGAATTGTAATCCTCACATATTGGGAGAGGGATCTCATCAGAGGTGATTGAATCATGGGGCTGTTTGCCTGTGCTCTTCTCATGATAATAAGTGAAATTTCATGAGATCTGATGGTTTTATGAGGGGCTTTTAACCCCCTTGATTCTGCAATTTTCTCATTCTTCTCCTTCCTGCTACCATGTGAAGAAGAATGTGTTTGCTTCCCATTCTACCATGATTGTAAGTTTCATGAGGCCTCCCCAGCCATGCTGAACAGTGAGTCAATTAAACCTCTTTCCTTTATAAATTACCCAGTCTCAAGTATGTCTTTATTAGCAGTGTGAGAATAGACTAATGCAAAACTGTGCCAAGTTTTGATATAAAGGTAATCCTGACTTAATTTAAAAAGTTGAGGAATATGTTTTGTCTTTTTACTCTTACAGTTAAATATGTGATACAATTCATCAGTGAAGCAATCTGAGCCAAAGTGATAGATGATTAATACTGAATATATGTCAAAACTCTTAATGCTTTTTTTTTTTTCTTATGTTAGTTTTGATAGGTTTATTTTTTTAGGCCTTGTACATGTCATTTAAATTATCAAAATGATTGACCTGGATTTTTCATAATAAGTGCTATTTATTTCTTTAAAATTAGATGTATCTTTGTTTACATATTTTCCCATTTATTATATTCATTAATTATTAGCTACTCTTCTTAATTAGTCTTGCTGGGTGTTTTCAAGTGTTTGTCAGTTGCATCAGTCTTTACAAACTATTACCTTCTGACTTAGTTACACCTGTACCTATAAATTTATTTTCAGCTTTAAAAATATCTGTTTGTTCCCATATAGCTTTCTATCTTTTGCTATTGTATGGTATAATTTGCTGTGATTTTTCTAACGTCCTTTAGTATAGTCTTGGATCATTTATGTTCTGGCTTTCTCCTTTTTAATGTACACATGTATGGTTCTACATTTCCTTTTAGTGAAATAGAGATGTATTCCTCAATTTTCGATATATCATATTTGCACATTCCCATTTTTCTATTTGCTTTAAATCTAAAAGTTATAAGAAATGTGTTTTATTTATGAGATTTCCATCTTTTCTTTTGTTAACGATTTCCATCTTAACTCCACTGGATCCAAAACATACTCTACGATGTTATTCACTTGAAACTGTTGTTCTTTGCTTTATGCATCAGCATATGTTCAATTTCAGTAAATTATCTTTGGGCAATTTAAAGAGATCTTTAGTCTTCATTTGATGGGTGCAATGTTGTTTATATGATAATTAGACCATGTTTGTTGACTTTGTTTTTGTTAAACTCTCGTATATATTTTTAATTTTCAGTCTACTTCTTCTGTTACTGAGAAAATCACATGAAAATCTCCAAATATAATTGTGTATCTATCTTTTTTTCTTTTCAGTTGTTGTCAATTTTGTTAGCTATAGTTGATGTTATGTTAATGGGTCCTTATCATTTAGAATTGCCTTATATTCCTGTCAAAACAAAGGTTTTTCATGAAATGTCACTCTTTAGCTAACAAAATGTTCAATCTTATCTGCAGTTTAAACATTTTTATTACATTTATTTTCTTTTGTATTTGCATGTCACATATTTTTCAATTATTAAATTTTATTTTTCTAAGTGTGTTTCTTCTAAGTAGCATATAGTTGCTGTTTCTTAACCACTCTCATTGGTTTTGCCATTTAATTATGGTATTTAGCATAATACACTATTAGCATTTAATTTATCTCACTCAATCTATGCCTCTGTTTTCCATTACTTACATCTTTGGATTGATTATTGTTTTCATTCCACATTTTTACATCAATTAATTTTTTCCTATGCAATCTTGCAGCACTTTGAATAACAATTCTTCTAGAGATTGCAATGCAGATTCTTGACTTATTCAAGTATATAAATAACATTTATCGGACAATGCAGGACATAAAATATTAACTTCATAATATTCTCAAGCTGCATTTAAGATTTCCTTTTTGTCTTTGTTTTATTGCCATTTTACTATTATTTACCAAGTTTTAATATTCTTTCATAGTTTCTTGCAGACGTCGATGGCTACTAAATTTAAGTGGATTTTTAAGTATTCCTGTATGAGGTATAATTTATTTATAATATAGTCCATCTATTTAAGTTGTGTAGTTTTAATAGTTATCACTTCAGTACCATATTGGTTAGAATTATAGAGAAAATACACTCATGTTTTTTTCCCAGACTTAGAGGAAAAACACTCCTTTAAAAAAAAAAATCACAGCCTATGATGTTACCTGAAGGTTTTCTCCGTATATGCCATTCATTAGGTTAATGAAGTTCTCTATTGCTCCTAATTTGCTGATTTATTTTATCATGAATATGTGTTGAATTTTTTCAATGTACCAAAGCACTTTTGCTTTTTCTTCATCTATTGAAATGGTCAGAGTTTCTTTCACTTTTATCTTTTAATATGTTTTTTTAATGTTGAATAATTGGGGATATTTATCCTAGACATTGTGAATATTAATGATGCAACCACCAGTCCCTCTGCAACTGGAAAGCATAATAGATGCAGCAGGCACAACGCTTGCACCATTGCAGCAGTCTAGGCATGAGTGAGGAGGGTGACTCCATCATCATCTGGCTGCCATTCACTTCTCATGACCTTGGGAAGAAAACTTTTATGTTGCTTTGGGTTCCATTATATAGTTTCAAAGACTGTTTTTGTTTTGGCTGAAAATTAACTTGGTAATGCTCAAACTGCAAATTTGCTTCATCTGAAGTGTACAGCAGTGTGGATCACAGTTTAGAATATTTTTCCTCTATCCTGCATATGAACAGTTCATAAGTCAGGGAGATACATTGGCAGAGATTATAGGCTAAACTGGGCATATTCTCTCTCTGACATCATTCTGGGGCTCCCACTGCACTGTCCTGTGGCCCTAAGTCTGAGGCTCCTTCTTTTGGATCCCTTAGCCTAGAAGATGGCAGAGTTTAACCAAGAAATGCAAAACTCACACCACATTGGATACTTCTAGCAAAGTTCGCCTGCTTTAGTTCATTTTAGTATTTATATTTTAGAGTAAATAGTTATATATTTGGATGATTTAATTATTAGAAGTCTAATCTTTCATACCAAAAGTGAAATTGAGTTTGGCCAGGTTTCGAAGGGCTTCATAGGGTTTATTGAAATTTTGACTTGTATTTCATTAATTTTGGAAAGGCTATACTCTTAACTCTGCAAATATTTATTCACTCCATTTTCTTTTTCTTTTCTTTTTTTTTTTTTTTTTTTTTTTTTTTTGAGTAGATGGAGTCTTACTCTGTCATCCAGACTGGAGCACACTGGTGCAATCTCAGCTCACTGCAACCACCCCTTCCTGGGTTCAAGTGATTCTCCTGCCTCAGCCTCCTGGGACTACAGGTGCGCACCACCACACCCGGCTAATTTTTGTATTTTTAGTAGAGACGGGGTTTCACCATGTTGATCAGGCTGGTCTCAAACTCCTAACCTTGTGATCTGCCTGCCTCAGACTCCAAAAGTGCTGGGATTACAGGACTTGAAATAGACTTTGTATTTGACCTTTTAACTGTATCCTATGTGTTGAATGATGATATATCTTGGTTTTACTAACCAAAGCTTATAAATAATGTATTTATTAAACTAATTTGGTAACCAATTTTTACTCTCAAACTTCCAGTTTAGAAACTAATCGTGGTTATGCACCATATAATGACATTTCTGTCAACCACAGATCACATATACGCTAGCAGTTTCATAAGATTGTAATACCGTATTATAATATTTTAGTCCAGTAACATTTTATACAGCTTTGTAGACTAGAAGCCATAGTCTACAGCACATAACCTAGGTGTGTAGTAGGCTTTACCATCTAGGTTTGTGTAAGTACACGCTATGATGTTCGCACAGTCTCAGGACTGAAAAAATTAATTGGAAACAATTTAAGAAGCTTTACCTTAATTAATTCAGAAGCGTCCTAAATTTTCTACAATATGGTACATAGTTTCAAATTATTAAACCTTTCTATGTAAAGTAATTTAAATACACTGACTTTTGGTAATAAATTGAAGATAAGAGACACATAGCTGGCTTCATGAAATTTTTAAGGTAAAGTTACCTAATCTGTGTAGTTGACCAAAAAGACTATTATGGGCCAGGCGCGGTGACTCAAGCCTGTAATCCCAGCACTTTGGGAGGCCGAGGCGGGTGGATCACGAGGTCAAGAGATCGAGACCATCCTGGTCAACATGGTGAAACCCCGTCTCTACTAAAAATACAAAAAATTAGCTGGGCGTGGTGGTGCCTGCCTGTAATCCCAGCTACTCAGGAGGCTGAGGCCGGAGAATTGCCTGAACCCAGGGTGCAGAGGTTGCAGTGAGCCGAGATCGCACCATTGCACTCCAGCCTGGGTAACAAGAGCGAAACTCCATCCCAAAAAAAAAAAAAAAGACTATCATGGTTCATTATATCTAATTGTAGGAAAATGAGACTAGAATTTCCATATGCTATATCTTCCACATGACTGACAGGAACATATGCTAATAAATATGCCATTACTCCTTACAATTTAAATAAAGGAAAAGAAAACAAGGAATCTTACTTATTCTGGTGTCTTCTTATTAAAAAAAAAAAAAAAAAAAACCTTAAGGAAAAAATGCTGTTCTAAGAAAGTTGAATGTGTGATTTAAAGATTTTTGCAGACTTGATGCTTTTAATATGAATGACAGAAACTTTTTTCACATTATTTATAAATGGACCATGTGATCTATATGACAATTATTTTATTTCATGTGTTCCCCTATCAATCAGATTCTAAAGTAGGCCCATTATTTCCCAGTAAAATGTTCCAGCATCCCATGAGTGACATTATACGAACATCAATCACAGAAATCTAGTTCTGATGTCCCAAAATATTGTGTCAATGTGTAGAAAGGAAGAAGCGAAACTGATTATGACAGCCAAATGAGGATGACTTCTCAACTCCCCTAGGGAATTTCATTATTTACAAAATTGGACAATTACTGAATGATCAACCACACAAGGCTTTCGTTCCATTGGAGGAAACTTTATAATAATTCTGCTCATCTTGAGGGAAATTTTCTGATGCTAGACACTGTTATACCAAAAGCAGGATGAGCATTGATGAGAGTTTTGTGGCTGTATTTGAATTAGAAGAGTTATTGAAGTCTATATTCTTTATTACCAACATTATCAAGTTAGATTGAAGAAATTTACCACTGTTTATTTTTTACATCATAGATTAGAAGATGGTATCAATTCTACCCCAACAAGAAAATATTTTTAGATATCCATTGCTGAATTACATAAGTCATAAAATGTTATTTAAAACTGAAATTATCAGAGAATGAAAGAGAAGAATAAGAGATTGAGAACCAAACCAATATGTTGCACTGAGAATAAATACATCATTTATCTGCTATAGTGTTATCTCATTTATTTTTATAATCACCATGTAAAGTAAACATGAGTGTACCATTTTATATATGAATAACCAGAGGCTTATAACAGTAAAAGGAAATGACAGAAGTCATAACTAGTGGAAAACCCAAGATTTTAACTCAGATCTGAATGACTCAATGCTGTGAAGGTTTCTATTCCAAACAGCTCTGCTTCACTGAATGATATGTTTCAGTATTGATATAAATAATCCATGTAGAACATATTTTCAAATTATTTGCATTCAGTAGAGTATGAATATACTGATTATTCCAAATTCATACTGATAATTCAATAGGCAATTTAGGATTTGACAGAACCTCAGGTTCATCTATCAAGCAGAAATAATTAAGGTGCATACATACACGTAGGAAAATTCTGACAAAGTTTTCTAATTGCATGACTTCTGTTTAACAGGATTCTTTTTTACTTAGAAATGAATATCACTGTAAACCTCATTTTGAATAATATTACAAATGCTTCATAGTTATGGGTACAAAGACTTGAGGCGATAACCCATACATAGTCCAAAGAAATATCATTGAAACTATGTAATTGATTGACTAGAAAATATTGAAAGTCTCCTGTTATTCCCACTTGGATCTAATCATACTGAGAACCAGTGAGTATAAGATGCTTTCTAGACTAATGGACTTGAATATAGAGGTGAAATTCACTTATATCACTATTATTTGGTAAACTGAAACTTGCCACAAATCTTCAGATTCTGTACATTTTGTTCAACACTAGTTCAGATTACATTTGCTAAAATTATTAGTTTTTCTGGCCTGTCATTATATATAGAAGAAAGAAAGAAAAACGACTGTAAAATATTTTTCTTAGCTGAAATAACCTGTTGATAAAATTGTTGCTTTGTCTATTGGTCAACACATGGTCTTTTAGTGAGACTAAAAAGCCAATCCTATGCTCTGTTTTCAACAATGAGTGGCCAGAATCTCTATTGACTGAACAGGGGGTTCCATGACTTTGGTTGATTCATATGAGCTGCTGCCCAGTAGATGTCATCATTATACATCAGAACATGCTGGCTCTATATTCCTGGTGTATTTTGCGGGGGAAATTTCTAGGTATTCTTTTGACGGTATCTATACAGTTCATACATTTGCATATTTACTCAACTAATATTGAGAGTTTATTACATATAAATTTTGAGTCATGAAGACTGAGAGAAAATAAATACAACAGTCAAGGCAAATTCCAAATAAAATTTTAAACTCTAACTCATCTTTTTTTCCAGATAATTCCATGGCTTATCTGGAAGTACACTGATATATCTTTATCTACTTTCTTTTTTGTCTTTTTTTTTTTTTTGAGACGAAGTTTTACTCTTGTTGCCGAGGCTGGAGTACCATGGCACAATCTGGAATCACTGCAACCTCCCCCTGCCAGGTTGAAGCGATTCACCTGCCTCAGCCTCCCCAGTAGCTGGAATTACAGGCATGCATCACCATGCATGGCTAATTTTTTATTTTGTTTTAGTAGAGATGGAGTTTCTCCATGTTGTTCAGGCTGGCCTCGAACTCCCAACCTAGGGTGATCCTGCCGCCTCAGCCTCCCAAAGTTCTGGGATTACAGGCATGAGACAGCATGCCCAATCATCTTTCTCTATTTTCAATGCACTTTACTCAGATGTACCTAGACCAATCACCACTTCTTATGAAAGTAAGGAAGAGTAGTTACAGAATTACATAGACGCTACACAAGGTAGCCTATATGCTGATTGTGCTTCTAGCCAGTACTGCAGACATCTGAAAACACTACGTGAGGAGTTTCATTGTAAATCCAGTCATGTCTGCAATTAAATCTCACGTTCTTAGGAATCGCTATGCTAAACAAAATGATGCCATTAAAAAAAATTTGCCCAGCCACAGAAAATTTGGTCATGAACAACACTTGAAAACTTCAACAGTAGGCCGGGCATGGTGGCTCAAGCCTGTAATCCCAGCACTTTGGGAGGCCGAGGCGGGTGGATCACGAGGTCAAGAGATCGAGACCATCCTGGTCAACATGGTGAAACCCCGTCTCTACTAAAAAAAATACAAAACATTAGCTGGGCATGGTGGTGCGTGCCTGTAATCCCAGCTACTCAGGAGGCTGAGGCAGGAGAATTGCCTGAACCCAGGAGGCGGAGGTTGCACTCCAGCCTGGGTAACATGAGTGAAACTCTGTCTCAAAAAAAAAAAAAAAAAGAAAACTTCAACAGTAACACATTTAGGAAATGACAGCAACCAAAAAAAGTAGCAAAATTTTACATGTTACGTGGTCAAGAAATACATAAATCCTGCAATTAATATGGCATTTATTTGAAAACAAAGGTTGCTGATGATGAGGTGGTAGAAGTGTTACCTGAAAGTTACATACCACATGTGGACAGGTGTGGCTCATCACACATGCTATGATGAACTATGGAGTGTGCTGCGTATGTGAAGTTTATGTATCATACCAGGCTCAGTTCACCTGGGGACAGTTTCCCATACATATTCACTTAGAGTTTCTCAGGCATGAAATTGACTCTAAATAAAAGCAAAATTAACGTTACACTCAAATTGTTCCCTAGCATATCAAACACATTGGAATAAATTTACATCTTCTAAACAAGCATCATAGAATAACTGACCATATTAGAACTGGGTGACTGAGCCATACTCTGATTAGAACCAAGAAGTAGAGAAATATGCTGATAAATTTACACATAGGGCCCTCATACTGCCAGCAATTTACTTTAAAATCTTTCTGAATAGGCAAAATGACACGTATGTGTAAATTTGTTTTCATCTACACCTTATTGGTAATTACTAATCTGAGGAATTTCAGTCAGAAAGAGCTTTGCTTGTTTTTGTTTTTGTTTTTAATACTCAAGTCTTTAATCCATATTCAGAGATGCTATTGTTTCAATTACCTTTATCTCTGATCCGTCTTCCAACAAAACCTGTGTTCTGATAATGGTATCGAAGATTATATTAACTGGTAGGATTAAATTAAAATATATGAAACAAAATAAATATTATACAGATACTTTCTTATTTGTTTGAAGAAGGTATAGCATTCAAAGTTTAGTGGTCTGATAGGCCCTCTGTCCAGAGAAGTTATAGGCAGATTGTATGACCTCATTCATACATCAAATTTTGTTAAAATATCACTGCATGTATCTTGATGATGGTTTAAGAAAGATACAATCAAAAATCCTAAAAGTTTAGTAAACTGAGGCTTTATAAAAGTATGCATGTGCCCTAGTTAACTGTATATTTATTGTATATGGTAGAATGAATTTGAGATTTGCATTTATTACTAGTTGAAAGTAAGTTTAGGAGTTAAGAACCTAAGAGTCCACACATCTATAATTGTAAGAGATCTATCAATATTTAGTAAAAAATCACATAATAATAACAAATGACCAAATTGACTTGGTTGAGTTTATAGTCATTCTTACAA